ATATATATATATATATATGCACCTTTTATCCATTCATATTACTTGGCTTCCTGAAACTGCCTAACTTACTGTCTTCTCTGAGGGATAAGATTCCATAGGAAGTGATCTGTGATTAAACGCTAAGTGCACGGTTTTGACTGTTGCATTTATTATTTTGTTTTTGCAAAAAAGGTGGAATTTCCCTGTAAGGGGTTGGAGCCCCAATTCACAGCACACAGCATAATCCCTGTTCATCTCAATCTACATAAACAAATCCTATCCTACTTTATGAAAGAGGAAGTTATATTACTGAGATGGTATCTCCTTTTGTCCTAGAGAACTACAGACCATGGATAAAATACACTCTGTGCACCATTATTAGGCTAGTTGTATTTTGGAGGATTAATTTAATTATTGAACAACTACAGTGCTCTCGGTCAATACAAAATCTTAATAAACCTCAAACCTGAATATTTAAGAAGTAAAAGTGAGGTTTTGGCTTTCTTAGGAGAATCTGTATGTATGCACAATTATTGGGAAACTATTAGTGTGCAGAATTATTATGCAACTAAATGGAAAACGAAAATGTTCCCATCTCACTTGTTTATTTTCATCTGTTAAAGTGAGAATAATAAACAAACAACTTAAAATATACAAATAAATATTTTTGACATTTTCAAAACCAAAATCAGTGACCAATATAGCCCCCCTTTTCAATAACAGTCATCAGCCCATCCATGGAGTCTGTCAATTTCTCCATCTGTTGACAATCAATTTTTTTTTCTCAAATCTCGGTTTATTGAGCAAGAAAAAAATAAAACAATATGCTGGTATAGTATCAAGTCGTAAAGGTCTGCACACAGGCAACCAACTTGTTCAATATAAAACACAAGAATGTACAGAACATAATGGTGAACCTAACTTCAAACTAGGCAACATATTTCAAAGGCACAGTGGCATAGCACTAGTGCCTTATCCCATCAGTTAGCATCGAGCAAGCAACTGGTCAAGTAGCGTAACGTACCCTATAAGACATATAAATTTGCAGCATATACTAGATTGCGGCCACGTTAGGGGTGCCGTTCCTAGAGTTAAAGGAGAACTATGAGGTGAGTGCATTTCACTCACCTCATAGTTCTAGCCGACCTGTGACAATGAGACTGTCACAGGTCGGCTCAGTAGATCAGGAGGTGAGCGAACACATGCCAGTGTTCGCTCACTTCTCGATCTTGTCACAGCTCTCTGTCGTGACAGGGGAGGGGATGGATTCCTCCTGCTCCGATCCGCCAGCGCTGACTGGCGGAACAGACGGGGGAGGGGGCGGGTACAGCTGGCTCTGCCTCTAGATAGGCAGAGCCAGCTGTCACTCACGCAGCTGGGCGGATCTCGACATCTATGTCGGGATCCGCTACGGTGTCTCGGTATACCGCAAGCTTTAGCTCGCGGTATACTGAGCTTAGAGTGACGGGAGGACGCTAGTTTGTATCCTCCTGTTACCCTAAGGAGAACTATGGGGAAAAGCCCTGACCCCATAGTTCTCCGTTAATGCTGCAACATTTGTTCATCTGGCTAACAGCCCTCTCTGATACAGTCTAAGGAGTTATGACAAACTGGAAGTTATGCTGTTTTGTGTGTACGGAGCCCCCAACACGGGAACATCTTTTCATCGGTCAACAATCATTATTCGGGAAATGAATAGCATCAGAATCCACAAGGAATGTGGAAGAAGAGAAGTTTGAGAAGAATTTCAGCAAGTTTGGAAGGAAAAAGAAAAGAAGGTTGGGGAAGTACGAGAAGGGAGATCACCCGCCCACCCTGTGACCCCCACTGGGAGGCATTGCAAAGAACAGGCCGCTGCACACAGGGCACCCAGCCACTACAGCTCCAGGATCCGGGGCTCTCGAGGAGGAGGTGGCGTTAAAGAGTCCTGAACCGGGGTCATGATCTGTAGGTAAGCGTCCGTGGTGGTGTAGTGCGTGTCACAAAATCTTTCCTCCGTGTTATGAACTGTGGCCATGAGATCCTCTAGTTCAGGGGTGGCAAACTCCGGCCCTCCAGCTGTTGTGGAACTACAAGTCCCTTGAGGCTTTGCAAGATTCTCACAGCCACGACTCGCAGAGGCATCATGGGATTTGTAGTTTCACCACAGCTGGAGGGCCAGAGTTTGCCACCCTTGCTCTAGTTGGTGGATCTCGTTGACCTTTGAAAGCCAAAGTCGGAGTGTCGGAGCCTAGTTCGACCTCCAGAGGGCCGGGATACATGCCTTAGCGGCATTGAGCAGGTGAATTGATAGAGACGCCTTGTATTTGCGGCGTGGTAAACTGGTCATGTGTAGCAAGAACACCTCCGGACTCCACTCCGCCAAAGAAGGGCAACTCCAGAAGATGTGCAACATGGTGCCCTCTGCTGCACCGCATCGCCAGCACACCACTGGGATGGTCGGGTTCATTTTATGTAGGACATGTGGGACCCTATATCACCGGGATAGGATCTTGTACCCTTGTTCCTGAAATCTGTTGGCTATCGAGCATTTAAGAGCAAAGTGGACCGACATTTCCTTCTGTCTAGGGGTAAGTGTCTTACCTAAGTCGGCCTCCCATCTCAGCAAGTAAGGGGGGGTGAAATCCGGTGGGGGAGCAATCAGTGGTTTGTATGACAAGGACAGCACGTGTCGAACTGGCAACCCCTTCCCACACATGGAGTCAGTGGCCTGTCTACCTGCAATGAGGCAGGTAAGGCCAGTAAAAAGTGCCAAAGCTGGTAAGCGGTCCAGGTATCTAGCGGGGGCTCCAGAATGGATTGCAAGGCGGCTCCCCCCATCCATTGCCCCTGTTCTAACATTTTTAATTCTGAACTTGTTGAGGCTGCGCAAACGTCGGTTTTCCAGGCCTGCTGGAAAGTCCGGATCCCCTATCACTGGGGTGAGCGGGGACGGAAATGGGGAGATCGGAGATGTACGGAACAGCGCCCTCCCAATCCTGAGAGTCGCTCCCACCATGGGGTGTTGGGAGCAGGATGCCGGTAGGGGACCCAAGAGCCAAGGTGGTCGGGGTTACCCCCAATTCCATGCGTACCCACTGCTTGTGGGTGGAGTGGCAGCACCAGTCCACGACTCTATTACGGTGTTCTGCACGATAATAGAGAGCCAAGTCCGGGAGCCCAACCCCTCCCGCTGATTTGGGCATGGTGGGATGTCGCCTACCGATTATTGGAGCCCCATTCGCCCAGACGAATAGCAGGAACATGCGACGGAGGCGGGAGAAAAAAGCAGGCGAATGGGTAGTGCCTGCATTAGAAATAAGATCCTGGGGAGAATGGTCATCTTGAGCGTGTTACAGCGACCGAACCAAGTCACCGTGAGAGCCTGCCACGCACTCAGGTCTTGTTTGATCCACTGGGGGCAAAATTGGCTTCGTACAGTGACCCCAGATCGGAAGTGATATGAGTACCTAGGTATGGCAGGGAACGGTCCACCCATTTGAAGGGAAAGTGGGTCTGGATCAAGCTCTGCTCACGTTGAGGCAGAGTGATATTCACCGCTGCTGACTTAGACCAATTAATAGCCAGGCTGGAGAGGGAACCATACACATTGAACTCTCTCATGAGTTCTGGGAGGGAGGTCCGGGGCTGGGTTACAAAAAACAAAAGGTCATCGGCGTACGCTGCAACTTTATGT